CGGGTTCAGTTTGATTGCGAGAATCAGCAAGTTTCTGCAAGCAGTAAATCTTTCCGCCGGCAGAAGCTACTAACTTTTTCAAGGTACTGACACGCGTACCCCTAGGTCCGCAATTACGACCCATTTTTTCCCCGGATACCGATTGTAGAATGCGTACCGCATCCCGAAAAAGGGTCGGTCAATGTAGGAGACTTGATCCTTTATCCTTTAGAGATATTCATTACACGTGCTGACTGAAAGGAAACCCCTCCCAATCGCGATGCTGTGTGGTGTTTGCACGCAATGAAGGTGCTTTGGGTGAAATTAAGAGACGCCGGAAAGAGTCCGAGAGCGAATCTCACGCATCACACAGTGCACAGTCGTAATCCGTCTTAATTCGTGGTGGGTGAGAGGGAGGGTGCGCGGCGGCGTCAGTGCAATCGGAGGCGTTCGTCGGCGATATTGCGTCGTCGTCGTGGGGTTGTCGTCTTCGTTGCCGCCACCGCCGTCGCAAGGATCGCCTTGACCCGTTCAGGCCAGGCCTTCTCCGCCCCTCTCTTAACTATACTCTATCTGTCAACACACGCATACAGCGTCATCATATCTTCCGCTGGGTGACATTGACGGCATTGACCTAGCTGGCTGGCTACTTACTGACCACTAGTACTGTACTTCGAATTCTGTACTTGGACGATGCATCATTAAATAATGTCGTTCGTATATTCAGCTGCAATTTATTCGCCCGGTGAGGGCAAAACTGTTAGGAATCTAGAAGGTATTTAATCAATACTTTTCAGTTTCTGTTGTCTTTTTGGCGTAGTTCGGCGAGGGGGGCATTTTGCACTTTCGCTGCTTCACTAGTTCTACTCTGGTGAACCCTTGTGAATCTAGGCCAAGCTCGTCTACACCACCATAGTGGAACCTGTCAACTCTTGTAAGCTCACGGAATGGCTCTCTAGATGGGTCGACACGTCGATGGGAAGTAGCAAAAGTGCGAAATGCCCCCTTCCCCCCATCGCCGAACTGCATCTTCTTTTTCCTGTTCAGGTTAGGCGCAGTTTGGCTTTGGGGAGAGGAGGGACATTTCGTTTTTTGGCTACTTCGCATAAAATTGTTGGGCCATCAAAGTCCAGGTACCGTTGGGTGACGAGTTTTCTCCACCTTTACAAAAGTTCACAGGTTTCACCAAGATGGCAGCTGTAAATCAGAACGAGTGAAAAAGTTCGC